GTGTGTGTGTGTGTGTGTGTGTGTGTGTGTGTGTGTGTGTGTGTGAAGAACGGTGGGGGGATTGGACCAGTGCCATACCACTGCCTGTCAGGTGTGGGTGGTGTTGACAGCTACAGGGACATGTGCGCACGCAGGTGACATCGGCCTCAGGTGCCCTTGAGTTGTCTATAAAGAAGTCGTGCTGGTCCAGAGGGGTTCATGTAAGCGAGGGCTTCCAGCTTGCCTCCCACGCCTGTATGGACACCGTGACTTTCTTGAACACTGGAGTTTCTTTCCCTAATTTAAAATCATGGAGTCCTCTTGGTGGGGTACCTCTGGGGCCTGGCACTGGGGCCACACTGGGAAACTCGGGCGGAGCATGAGGATGGGGGCTCCTGGTACTCTAGAGCTGCCCTCTTGCTGAGGGATGCCACTGCAGGCCTGATTGGAGCACAGTGCTCCCTCCTGGACTGGGCATGTGTGGGGACAGCAAGCGTGTCACGGGAGGCAACACAATCCAGAATAATGGGAGGTCACTGTGGAGTTGGGACTTTTGTGGCTGCCACAAAAGACTAAACATCCTGAGGAGACCTATCCCAGAGCCTCTGCCTCCCTCTGCAGGAAGCTCACCCTGATAGAGCTGGGGTTGTGGATACCCTTCCTGCAGGGCCCTGGCCCCTGACAATGAGGGTTTCGGCTCAGGCTCCTCATCTGGCAGTTCACTACTCGCAGACACCCCCCCTCCCCGGGTGCAGACTACATGAGGGCATGGGCTGTTTTGTCTAGCCTAGGGTCCAGAAGGACTGAGTTGGGGGAAAATGATATCAAAGGTGGTCAAGGCAGCCTGGGAGGGTCAATATGGCATTCGACCACCAGGGGGCGGCGTGGCAGCAGCAGACAAGAGCCCAGCGGGATGCCCAGCGGGCGGTGCCAGGCCTGAGGCTTACAGGAGGGGCACAGTCCTGCCTCGTGGCTGTCGCTGAAGAGGGTCCTCTGAGTTGTAGGGATGAGTCTGCTATGCTACCCAGCCCGGGGGCCTCTGGGACTCAGGGAAGCAAGCTCCTATCTGCAGCCGTCTGTTGCTAGGCTGTGTGTGGACTACCTGTGCCTCAGTTTCCCCACTCATCGAACGTGAAAAACCACAGTAGAACCCATTGGTGGCACCTGGCCGCTTCCATATGACCCTGGGGTTCCTGTAACTTTGGGGGGACAGGTACAACTAGTCTCTCATTTAACCCATGGGGAAACTGAGGCTCAGCTGAGAGAGGGATAGCCGTGTGAGGCAGACCCACACCTGGCTTGCCCCAGGAATTCAGCCTTCCCACTTGGGTAGCTGAGGGTCTGCCCCTGAGCTACAACCCACAAAGCAGACAGACTCCAGGGGACCCCCTCAGAGTCTGCAGCACTTACCATCTGACTCCGAGGCCGCCCTGAAGATCAGGTAGCTGCTGGGGAGGGGCTGGGTGATGGAGCCCACACTCTCACCCTTGGGGCCCTAGAGAGGCAGAGACTACAGGGTCAGGCACCAGGCCAGGCAGACAGAGGGAAGGGGGCAGGGGACTCTGTCTATCCCACACCATCCAGCTCTGAGTTTCCTCATGACAGGGGTCAGAACAACCAACTGGAATCCAGAGTGCCCACTTGAATTTGAACGACAGACATGGTGAAGAGTTCTTTAGGGTTAGCCCGTCCATCTTTTGGAGAAAATTTATAGCTAGCACTTTCATATAAAATAAGCTGTTTTTCCCCAATCTTTTCAAGTTATTGAGACAGGCTTTCTGGGGGGCTGGAGTGACGGCTCAGCTATTAAAGAGCACTGACTGCTCTTGCAGAGGACCTGGGTTCGATTCCCAGCACCCACACGGTGGCTACAAACCATCCTTAACTCCAGTTCCAGGGGAATCCGAAGCCCTCTTCTGACCTCAGCAGCATTGCACGACATGGGTGCACTCACATACATGCAGGCACTAAACTCGTACACATAAAATAAAAATAATAAATTATAAAATAAAATAAGCTGATTTTCCCCAATCTTTTCTTGTTATTGAGAAAGACTTTAAATTTTTTTTCATTTTGTTCTGAAACAGGATCACTCTCTATATCCCAGGCTGGCCTTGGACTTCTTAAGTAGCTAAAGATGACTTTGAACTTGCTACGTAGCAGAGGATGG